ACGTGTCATTTTTTGCAGAGTAATGGTTTTTGAGTTTTAAAACTCATTATTTAGATCCCAATTAATTTTTAAGCTTCCACTTTATTTTCAAAACTCTAATTTGGAGTCCTTAAATTATGTTTGAGATTTAAAATGGCAAATTGGGATTCTTTTGAAATAATTTTTGTGAAATCCTCTTTAACACCTCGGATGACTATGTTTTAGAGTTAATTTATGGTTTAACCTCAAGGAGATTACAAATACATATGTGCATATAAAGTATTTCACATATTTATTTATTATTTAAATTCCATACAGATATATTTTTTATTGTTTTATTGGCACAATTGTGTTATACCACACAAACAAAACAATCAATTCCAAAATCATTTATAAATTTTGGTGCAACCTATACTTGGAATATAATAAAGGTAATTAGAATCATTATTGAATTGAAATATAATATTCATAACCTTTTAATGTATTAATACATATTCATCAGTTCTTTAATTTGTAATGGCCAAGACAAATGAAGAATAGCTTGGATTGTGGCTTCTGTGTGATGAGTTTTATGAAGGACATCATTATCTATAATGAGAGTATAATTTTTGAGATGGTATGTCAACAATATTTACTTTTTAATTGCAAATAAATTTAATGTATTAAAATTAATTTATGGTGGATTGTTTATATATTGCAGTACTATGTCGACTCTGACATTGAAGAATTTGGGAATGTGGACATAAATGAGATAATTGAAAAATGACATCAATATATGTTCCAAAGTGTGGACCTTACATAAGGAAGATCAATAGAGCTAGCTAGAGGAAGTAGCTAAGATGTTTATAGTTTTAATATCTAGTTTTCTTTATGAATTAGTTTACTTTAGAAAAGTATATTTTTTTACTTGAAAGATTAGTATAAGAGATGTTTAATTAATTTTGCAATTGAATATAATAAAATTTTATTGATATTCAAATTTATAAATGTTGAAATGGCTATTTACTGTTATTTTGAGTTTTTATTGCAAGGGGCTAGTATAAATAACAGCCTCCATATTTTAAAAAATCATATAATAAATGAACAATCATAATTTATTTGATAATAAATGATGGGTAAATGATTTACCTTTCATTTATTTTCGCTATAAATGATGAGTAAATGATTTAGTCATCATTGATAGTAACAATAAATAGTGGATAAATTATTTACATGTCATTTATAGTGACAATAAATTATGGATAAATGATTTACCCATTATTTATTCGTCCCTTGATAGTATTAATACTAAAAAATTATATTTTAAATGATATTGGAGGACTTTAAATGTTAGACCCATAAATGACAGTTACTAACATCATTTATGGGCTAAAATAATTGTCATTCATTCTTTATTTTATAGTAGTGATTGGGTTTAGACCCATCTGGTTTTTTGAAAAATCATTATAGTTTCCAACTCAACTAACTAGTTTTTGTAGGCTCATTAGTGGCTCAACATCAATCTAATCTGGTTCACCTATGAAAATAGTTTTTTTTTAAACTGAACTATTAACAACTCCGATCAATGGTCCAACTTGTTTGACCATCCAATCGAATTCTTAAAACATTGCTCTCTCTGTGTCAAAATATGGCCAAATTTTAATTAACTCTCATAATTTAAGAAAATTGGTTAAGCATAATAAGTATGTATGGTATTAAACATTTAGACTAAATTACCCTTGTAATTAACAAAACAAGTTTTTCTCATGAAATAAACTTTGATTTCATGAGGGGTAATTTAAGAAAAATATAGTAAATGTTTCTTGAATTTTGAGATTTGCATATAAAAATATAATAATGAAACATAAGACAGTTTTTTCTATAATAATTAAAACAAAGGGAGTACACCGCACCCTACCAAAAAAAAATTTGTCTTAAAATTAAAATGAATGAAAGTTTATACTGCCTCTTATTCTATGTGAAAGTCATTTTCAACATTTTTATTCAAATTAAAGAAAACCTTAAATCTTATTAAATATGTTTAAAAATTCAACAAGTTTCTAATTTTACCACTATTAGTTGACTAGAAAATGGACCAAATTTTTTGAAATCTTTTTCTGAAATTTTTTGAGTCTTTTTTCATAATTTTAATTTTGGGTCCTTTATTGTAATTTTATGGTTCTTTTTTATAATTTTTGAAGTGCTTTTTTTATCATTTTCTAGTTAACTAATAATAAAGTTAATGGTTGTTAATAGCAGGGGCTAGATTACATCATTTTTAAAAGTTGAAAGAATAATTTATAAAATAAATGGATTCAAAGTCTATAATGCAACTGGATTTGAAGTTCATATGGTAACTTGTTCATTTATTCAACATAAAATGCTCTAGCATTATAATAACCTCAACATTCAATAAGAATAAAAGGAAAAAGATAGACATAATAATCATGGATGTGTCCTATAAATAAAATCAAAATAAATCTTCTCTTTTTGTCTTATAAATAGAATTAGAATAGTAGTTGATTTTCCTTTTAAGAGTATCTTCACTTAACAATAAATGCATGAACTTCCCTTTGAAATAACTGGCTTTGATTTTGCCTTATTTATCACTTCATGGATTACTTTTATTTTTTTAGTCTCTCTCAAGCATCGATTTCGGTGTGGTTCATGTTTCTTGTGACAGTGGGCTTTGAATAATTTGCTCCATAAAAATCGATGCTGTGAGATCAAAGTTAGTTTGTAACTTAGCGTTGAATTTGTGGGGAGACGCACAAACATTGGTAAATAGCTTTCCTTCATTCCATGTGAATATTCGCACCAACAAACATTCACGTTGAAAATATCTCTAAAAATGGGTCTTGGTCCAAGTTAGGCTTTTCCACAAATTAAAGCTTTTAATTTCACTTATATTAAATACCCAATAATTAAAAATACTTGTTCGCAATAAATCTAATAAAATATTTAACTGCTAGCTGTTGCAGAATTCTCCACTTGAATTATACACACACACACACAAAAACACACACCAATATAAAACGTGAAAACGAAGGAAGTGAGAGGAAGCAGATGAGTTCCGACTGTATTATATTTTTAATTTTCTTTTATAATAATTAGCCAGATCTTTCGCCCATGCATTATATTGAGTTTAGCAATGTAGCTTGGTATATACTCTCTTCATTCCCAAAGAATTATATTGTCACTTTAAAGATTTTTCTTTATTTTAAAATAATTGCCACTTCAAAATTTATCTTTATATACATAAGTCACTTTTAATTAAATACTGGAACAAAAAAATCGATTTCCTCATTAAAATGGTCATAAGTTTAAAAAAAGGACACGTGACTTCTAATTAATTTCAAAATGTATCCGTTTAAAAAATATAAACAAAGGCATACCTTATAAATATACAAGAATGCCATGTTGGGGGGAAAAAACAAAGGCATTAAATATACTAAAAAATCATGCAGAATGATGCAAGAGTATTTACTATCATAAATTCATTCTAAAACGTAATTAAGAATAAAAGAGAGAAGGTTATTTATCGACTTTCTTAATCTATGTGTACAATTTCCAAAATAAAAATTACCCATCTCGTCCTACTTATAAGAGAGAGAGAGAAAATTGTACTTCACTATTTTTTTTTATATTCATCTTTATCTTTATACCTATTAAATGCTAGAAAAATTATTAGTTCTTTTATCCTTATTAGGGGATAAAGAGGTGTGACTTTACTAAATTTTAGTACAAGGTTAATAAGATTTAAATTTTTTTTGGATTCTAGTAAAATATGTTGGATTGAAGTGACTTATAAATAAAATCAAGAAGAATATTTTGAAACAAAGAGAGCACCATACCTTATACTTCTAATAGGAAACTTTTGAGAGGTTTACAATGATTCTTGTTATAAGAAGTTAAGAACCTCTCCAAGTTGCATAGGTATTGCATTAATTTTGTTTTTACAAAAATGCCTTTGATTACTTCACATTTTCCTGCACTAATACATTAACTTAAGTCGCTACAAAAAAAAAACAGCTAATTAGCAAGAGAAAATTCTGTTGCTAATAAGTGAAAATTCTATTGCTATGCAAAACACCATCATTAATTAGTGACGGAATTATTGCATTGCAAACATTCTGTCACTAATTTCAGGGATAACTTATTCATTGGTGGAGATAGATTATTTAATTACTTGAACAGATATTAAGAGATGGTATCCCAATAGTTTAATTTTAAGGGTAATTATGAAAAAATCGTTCCAATTATTGTCAAATTTAATGTTAATAATTAAATTAACATAATTTATTAATTCTTGTAAAGTGGTTAATAATCCAGTCCTATACATAGGATGAGAGATAGTGCCCATTTGAATTTTAATTTACGTATGCAGAAAGTACATTTGAGAATTCAATTGTTTGCTAGATTTGACAAAAGTATATTTTAAATATAATTTGGATGTATTTTTGAGGGTTACTCAAACAAGTGTTTCATAATTTATATTTTATATTGATTTATTTTTCATTGCACGTACGAACGAGCATAGACTACGTTATGTAGAAAATAGAATTAAGAACGGAATTAATGTGGACGTGGAAAGCACACAATGTTGCATGGTTAAGGTTCACCGACTCATCACGCGCCTTGGCGGTGGTCAACTCTTATCTAGTCTTTAAATTTATTTTTTTCTATGATGACAATAATTATTATTGAATCCTAAATGTACTAACTGTTATTTTAACGTTAATAACAATCATTGTTTTGAATTCCTAATCGTAGTTATAGAATGTAGTCTTCCGATTTTGTCCCTGATTATTTGACTTAATTGTCCTTAATGACGGCTAAAACTGTAAATTCTTGTGTGAACAATAATTAAGGTCTTCTTCTTCGGCACAGTACAGTACAGCCATATTTAGTTTCTCTCAAGGACGTTAATATTAATAAATTGATATAAACACTTATTGATTACTTTACAAGATGTACATGTGCGTCTATTCCACATTAGGCAAGCAACTTCCTGCAGCACTATAAATAAGCACGTTCTGGTTCATTCACTCCAACACTACCAGAAGAAGCCTTCATTTCTGAAACATTAATTTTGCATCTCATCGATCAAGTTCAAATGGGTGGTTCTTCTCCTTGTGCTTCCTGCAAGTTGCTACGACGTCGTTGCACCCAGGAGTGCATTTTCGCTCCTTACTTTCCTTCTGATGATCCTCAAAAGTTTGCCATCGTCCACAAAGTCTTCGGTGCCAGCAATATCAGCAAAATGTTGCAGGTCTCATCTCTCTCTCTCTCCCACCTTCTCTTTATCCTTAATTTCTCTGCAATGTTTTGCAGTGTATGTAATAATAATTTTTATGTAAGTTCACACAATTTAAAATTAAAAAAAAAAATCTACAAGAGTGCTTGTTTTTGGCCTAGAACTTCTGTAGTATAAAGCGCTTCGAAAGGCACCCGATACCCGATCGTTTGATTTAAGAATCGCTTTCTGTCTTGATGTTTCAATGCGCTTTTGTTCTTAAGCGCTCTTGTATTGGCGTTTCCGTAAGCATTTTTTATCGTAGTAACGGTTATCCCAAAGACTGGATTTTGAATCCAAACAACACTTTCTTAGATGTTGCACCGAGTCAAATCATGATTTTTGATTGTGCCACTTACAATAAATCTTATACTCCCTCCGTTAAGCAATTTTTTAAGAGTTTAATATTAAAAAATGTGAGATATTTTTAATCTTTTAAGGTGTAATTATTGCTATTTTTTTAAAAATACATCTATTAAATAAATCACTTTACATTTATTTTAAGATGAAACGCCTTATTAAATAGGAGTAAATATAAAAAGATAGAGTTAGTTTGAAGATAATAAACTATTTTATTAGAGAACAATATTCAGTTAAAAATGCTTTACATTTTTTAACGAGGGAGTAAGCAACATTGATAGATTTTTTTATAGGTTTTAGTACTGAAGCATAAGAAAATGAATATTAAATTTAAAAATTATAATTGTAAAGATATCGTAACCTAACATTAATGTTCTTGTAAAGTTTTATTTATTATTTTCCCAATACTTTAATTTTCCGGCATATACAGAGTTAAATAAACAATAGTCGTATTGTTCATGACCTATGAATAGGAGCTTCCAGTGCATCAAAGAGCGGATGCAGTTAGCAGTCTGGTGTACGAAGCGAACGCGAGAGTGAGAGATCCGGTGTACGGATGCGTCGGAGCTATATCCTACCTGCAAAATCAAGTTACACAGTTAAAGACGCAGCTTGCAATGGCACAGACAGAGATTATGTGCATCCAGATGCAGCAAGATTATTCTACAAACTTATCAACTCAGACTGATCATTACCAAGATGACAATAAGTCGCTTGTCTTATCTGATAACAACTATGAAAGCTGCAATATTAATCATAATCTTGCCGATCATCATCATCATCAGTATCTCAGTTTTGCTTCTTCTTCTTCCTCGTCTAGTAATGTAATCCAGGACCCTTTTAAGAGGGAATCATTTTGGACTTAGCAGTTTTAGATTAATTATTATTATTAATTAATTAATACATATTTTCAGTGAATTATCGACTACATGTTTTTTTTTTTTTTCTTGTTTAACTATTTTGATTAAAGTGTAAGATTGGCTAGCGCTAGCTAGCTGCTTTTGTGATCTATGATGTGCATGTTTTTTATCTTGCTGTTGACAGATAAATAGCACTAAAAAAAAGTGGATTATAATAAAGAGGGAAGTTGCAGTAAACAAGAAGGATATGTATGTAAGAGTCAAATCCTGCATGTGAGATTTTGAGTAGAGTTGAAGGCTTTACAACTAGTTTCTCTCTCTTGTATTAATTTCTCTTCTTAATCCCTTTAAATTATTAGGTTAATTATTGCTGATTAGGACCATTTTTTTAATATTTAACTCAACTATTCTCTCTCTCTCTCTCACACAAACACTGGGCTGTTCCTTATAAGCTGGCTGGCTGTTGATTGCACTTGAAATACCTTTACACACAATACACGTTATTCATAGGCAACAAGAGGGGGAAAAAAAGAAAAAGAAAAAAGAAAGGCCCTGCAGGCCCAAGAACTTCTTACCACCACACCCCCCCCCCACAACAAAATTACACTAAATTACCCTCCACAAGTTTCATGAATTTTGACTTTTAATCTTATAAAATAAATTACCTTTCCCTCTTATAAATATGAAGATTCACCTATTCTCTTTCACACTTTAATAATTCTATTTTTATTTTTATTTTTTCAATCCATTTTATACACACACCCCCTAAATTACCCTCCACAAGTTTCATAAATTTTGACTTTTAATCTTATAAAATAAATTGTCTTTCTCTCTTGTGAATATGACAATTCGCCTATTCTCTTCCACATTTTAATAATTTTATTTTTATTTTTATTTTTTAAATTTATTTTATTCTATTTCTTTCTAATAACTAAATAGGGCCCAAGAGCCACTGCTTAAATTGAGATAAACTAACCAATATAGAGTAGGGGACTCATGCGCCTCTCACAACATAAAATAGGAAACTGAAAACTGATCTGATAACAAATAATAGGAAATAATTTTACTAAATTAAACAATTAATAAATCCCTAGTTGTAGAAAATCCTAAGCTAATTTAGGTGGATAAAACCCCAGTCATCAATAATATATATACTCCCTTAGATTTCAAATTTAGGAAAAAAAATAATCAATTCACACAGTTTAAAAAAGTTGGTTAAGTGTTTGAAATTAAGAAAACTTGGACTAAATTATCCTTGTAATTAATTAAATAAATTTGTCTAGTAAAAATAACATTGACTTTATTAGGGACAATTTAGAAAAAATATAATAAATGCTTCTTGAAATTTGTAATTTTATTTATAAATAAAAACAAAGAGACACTAACAGGAGTTAAGTCTAACAGAAGAGGCTAATTTCTTACAATGTGGTACATTCAATTTCAATCTCTGTTGGAAGAGGTACCACTTTTAATGTCCAACTATGTCTTGAACAGGATTATCATCAATAAGAGAAGACATATGACCAATCACGGAAAACAAAGAAACACATGGCAGTTTCCCTTACATTTAATAACGGAGTAGTATAATATTTGAATATTTGAATAGTAGCCTTGAATATTTGAATAGTTGGGTTAATTCTAAAAAAAATTCACTGATTAGTTTATCCCATATATACATATATAAGTGTATCATTTATTTCATTGATGTTCTTTGAATTTAAGTTTTAGTTCTTCTATTTCTCATTAATTTTTTTTTTCCAGATATCTGACGAAAGTTGATCAGGTACCATTTCTCTCTTCAAAATCTGAAATCGTCTGGCTCAACAATTGTCTCAATATGCATGATTAAAATCATATGTAAGTATTTAGCAAATAAATAAATAAAATATAATTAAAAATAAAGAAAAGAAATATATAATGCACTTTCTCTGTTTTATATCACTCTCAGATTTTTTTTTTTTAATTGAAGGGCAAGCACAAGGCTTGAAGAGCTCACAAAGGAGTCATTAGGCTGTGCTAAGCTTATCTTCGTGTATAAAAGTAATACATTCATCCAGCACATCATTCATAAAAGTAATAATATAATCGGACCAGTGTCACGGCTCTCGCTTGCAATGGAATCAACGTAACGCAGCGAAATAATCTCTCTGTAGGCATACGGTGCATTTCAGCTTCAATATTCCCATAGATAAGATCACGATCCAAGTGGCTTTCCAAGGTGCAATGAGTCCCACATCACGAACCTCATAAGTTGAGTAAGGTTTATAAGTGTAAAAGGTTTTTCCTCTTAATAGGTGTTTGTGGTTGAACAATAAATACCAGATATGCCAGAAATGCTGAGTTTCAATAGATAATGACAGGGTCCCAAGTTTCCTTACCACAGTTCGCTCGGATGTAAAAAGATAGAAGGTTGTGATAGAACAAGTGTGTAATTTAATTGAAGTGTAAGAATTACAGACTAAAAACTAAGAACTAAAAAAGGGCTAATGAATGTAAAATATGTGAGTCTTAATCAAGTGTTGACTGGCTTTCTCTATTTTTCTTCTTTCTATTTATAGTGTCGGATAGCAGAAGCCCTTTTCTTTGAGACTTAGCATGTTCTACTGAAGAATTAGGAATCCCACGAAACTTATAGCATAGTCTCTCTATTTTGATAACCAGCCTATTTCACTGAACTACTCGGGCGCAGATTTCGGCATTACTTAGGATCATGTCCTCGTGCTAAAGGTCTGATATTTGAAGCTAATGGAATTTCGACATGTTTATTTGTTGTGGACTTGAGCTTTAGGCCGACCTCTTTAGTTTATATTGGGCCTGACGCTTCGATTACTCAGCCCAACTAACCTCGTGACCTATTTGAGTGACGTTTTATATTTAGCCTAAACAATGCCCCCCGTGTGCCAATGGCTGGTAACATAAGCTATGTAGCACGTTTGAAAAAATCAAAATGTCACTTCATTTCTAAGCACCCTCTACCAATATAAACTTATTTATAGGTTTTGGTCACTTCTCTTGCTTTCTTTACTGTTTCTTGAACTTCAAGTCTTCAGTCTGTTAAAATTTCTCCTACCTTAACTCTCAAATGGCTTCGTCTACTTTTGCTGTTTCTTTTGCCACAGCACCCTCTTCTATTGCCACTGGTAGTCTGCCGGATTCTCTTGCAACTATCCAAAACTCAGTAAACCAATTAGGTAGGCTCGTAACGGTATGTATTTCGTGGTCTGAAAAACCATTTTTTCCTTTAGACTGGTTTCCTATTCTAATAATAATTCATTTCTTTTCAGGAGGGTTTGTCATTCCACGAATCAGTGGCTTTCTGGTAAGTTTCTTGCTTCTCATATTTAACCCTTCTATTTATTGAAAAGTGCTTTAACTATGCTTCCTCTTTGTTCAGCACTTTACCTTCGAGTATCTGACAATTTCTCCTAACCTATCCGATGTTAATGCTCCATGCAATCGAGTCCATGGCCACTAACCTCCCTTCGTAATCTAGTCTTGGCCTGGATGACCTCACCCTTCCCCAAGTCATCTTGTAGAAAGCTTAAGAACTAGCCTCGGTCCCTTCGTGCTTGGGTTAAATGGGTGAGGTGTTTGAAGTCAGATCATACACGTCAGTAGAAAGAGATAGGTCTATATGACCTGACTCAGCTATCTTTGACTGACGTTGATGTCCTCGTGGACCTTCTCACTGTCTTCCTTAGCTTTTAGGCTCTAAGCTGCAATGCCTTTATCTTTGAGCTCAGCCCGATATCCCTCATACTATGGGACGTCTTTATGTTCTTGGGGCTGCCCATCATCGGGGAGGAGAATTTCTATGCAATCCTTGGGAAGCACGACTCCTACACCACCCTTTCCTGTTGACTTGGAGAGCAAGATCAGGGTTGCGGGCTCTTATACGAAGATTATAGAGCTATTCTCCGAGAAACTAGCCTCTGAGCCCGTTAATGCCATGGAGCACTTGGTCTTTATCAGCATCTTACTAAGCCAATAGATCCTAGCGTCGGGAGGAGGGAAGCCTGTGCAGTTGCATTTAAGTATTGCCCAGTCCCTACTCTGTGGTAACCAAATAGCCTTGGGGACTATGTTTTTATACCGTCTCTATGATGGCATGAGGTAGTCGTTGATTAAAAAGCCTTTCAGCAACTTCAGTGGGCTCGTCTGATTTTTAAAGTTATGGATGATGGCCTACTTTCCCAACCTTCGGCGGGAGCCCTTCTCGAATGATTCCCACGCCAACCACCCCTTCACTTGTCTCTTGGGTAGTCATCCATTGGTAAAGTCAAAGAACTTCTTTGAGTTCTTCTGTCAACAAAGCTAGTCCTTGGGGAGGATTTTAAAAGCTTTCAACATCCCCAACTGTCGCCTTCCCACCTGGTATAAGTATATGGTGGAGAAGAAGAACAAGCCTGCTAACCCTTTGAGGGATGAAGTCTTCCTTTCAGCCACCACTCCCTGAAAGATGTGGCTACCATACACTGGCTCTTCTTCCAAGTCTCAGAGTATACTTAGAGTCTTATCATCCTCAACTGGTAGTGGGCCAGTTTGGACTGAGCTAGTACATCCCTCGGGACCTGTCCCTCCAAATTAGCGTGGAGTTATTGGATAAAGAGGCTATCAATCAAATAGCCGTTCCACTTACCACCCAGAGGCAATACAAGGTGGAACATGCAAATAGAGATGCCTGCCTCCGCTTTAACAAATGGTGGCCCTAGCGCTTTAGGCACATAATAAAGAGCCACACCAGTAAGTATTTCCTTTACATCTATCTTAGTTTTATCCTTCTCATTTTGTTTCCTTAAACTAAACCCGCCTTATTTTTTGTAGGCTGTGATTAGACATAATCCCACTTGCTGGTGACCTTTTTGAGGGGCAATATTGATGCCTTCACTACTTTTGAGACCCTGACGGCCCCTTCCGTGAGGATTGTGGTCCAAGGGATGGAGCAAGATAAAGCTTCCTCCTAAATTTTTATTCCCCTGGTCTCTAAAAAGTTCAGGGCTAAGAAGAGCTCCTCTAGTCATCCCGATTAAGGAGATATTCCAGACAAGAGGAAGCAGTCTCTATCTCCCTTTCCTAAGGCTAAAAGGAGAAAGAAGACGATGCCCCCGTCGCTTGACCAACCTGCCTCCACCCCCTTCAAATCAGCCCCACACCTCAAAAAGAAAGGTGTACACATAAGCACCAATGGACGATGATCCTATCAGCAGACTCCGACGATGGCAGAGTGAGTCCAATTCAACAAGGAAAGAAAGAGACCCAATGC